CTTGTCCTGAGCTTACCAGTCCTCTTGTATCCAGAGAAGAGCTGTGGAGCAATAGCTGACTAGGACAACCAAATGCATTGCACAGCCAGAGGGAAGCACTGATTGTGTGCCATGTGCAGTCCATCGGTGTTGGAGGATGGCTGAGCTGGGCAGAGTGCTGTTGTCCTGCAGTGTGCTGTAATGCAAAACATCGAATGAGGTGCAACTGGCTCCAGAAACACCTTCTCAGTGGGGAGACTACCCCTGTGCCCCAGCAGAAGATACAACACATCTGGGAAATCATCCTGCATCTTTATTTTGGATATAATTTCTGAATTCTCTTCAGAAAAGTTCCTAAATGGCTCTCCAGCTTTGTCACTTATTAACCCAGCTGCCTTCCTAGCAGGATGCTTTGCTGGGGTATGTTTCGTCCACAAGAATCTGAAACAAAACCCTTAATATGAAAAGGTTGGTAAAACAGAGCTATTTCTAACCTCCTGGAAGCACTGGACATTATCCAAGTCTGCATAAAATTTGTGTACAATTCTAATCCAGTAGTTTTTTAGGACTTGTCCTAAAAATTTCTATGGAAGAGGAATGGGCACATCTAGTAAATGTAGACAAAAAGGGGTATGTGAAGCATGTGGGAAATTCCTGTATTGTTCTAAGAATATACATGGCTTCATTTAGCCACCTGGCTTAAAGGTACTTTATTAGGAATGCATAAGTCAAGGTTGCTGCAGGGATGGGACTGGATGGAAGTTACTAGACAACAGACATGTTCGCATTGGTAGGAGTGATATGTCAAGGACAGCGGCCCCAGCAGGTTACTGTATGCATGCAAGAAAAGAGGAGGCTTTAATGTCTAACTGCCCAGGGGAGCACAACACTTGAGACTAACATGAATACAAGAAACAAAGGGATACTTACTCTGTGGGACCTTTCTAAAGGTCAGAATGTGGTCTCCGGGGGTAGTTACTGGAACAAAAGCTGACAGAGTAGAAAACCAAAATACAGGATTAGGATTATCAGTACAGGGATAATCTGCTCCATTTATTTATATTTCCACTTCAAGTTCTTGTGATAAACAGGTATTATTTGAAGGCTGGATGCCTTCAAATCCATCGTTCACATTTTCTTGATAAGAACTTAATAGCATGAACTCGTTTCTAAAGAAACACAGTCCTTGTTACGGCATTGGCCCATGATGTTTTGTCAGCTTCACAGAAGGGCTGAGGTTGGCAGGCACCTCTGGAAATACTCAGGCTCAACCCCCTGCTCAGGCAGGGTCACCTAACGCAGGTTACCCAGGACTGTGTCCAGATGGGTTTGAATATCACCAAGGATGGAGACGCCATAACCTCTCTGGGCCACCTATTCTGGTGTTAGAGCATCCCCACAGGGAAAGTGTGTGTGTTTTTTTTCTTATTTCCTCTCTCCTCCCCTCCCCCCCACCATGTTTTCTTATGTTCAAACAGGATTTCCAGTTTTTCCATTTGTGCCTATTGCCTCCTGTCCTGGGTACCATCAAGAAGAGTCTGGCTCAGTGTTCTTGCTGCCCCCACCATGCTTACCCTGTTCCTTTTATTCCGTTTCATCTTCCAAACTTTTCTGGATGTGTTTTGCTCATGTGTTTTGCTAATATCAGATCTAACATAGGATAGCTCACCCATGTTGGCTTTCTGAAAGTACTACAGACATAATGTGTCGTCTGATCGTTTTTACATTAGCTGCAACGAGACTCTCAGAATGTCGCAAGTGCCAAGCTGAAAATTCCTTGTAATACTCAAACAAGAGGTAATGTCATCAGTGTAAATTCAGGTGTTGGAAAATGAAGTGAGACTTAATGCCTGAAAAAATGAAAGCCTTACACAATTTACTTGTAAGAAATATTACTGGATAAAGCCTCCCCTTTCACTGCGGCACTGCAGTGCAGAGCTTGGGGTTTACAAATGAAATCTAAAATTTGTAGAATGTGGCCCGTCATAAGACTCCCTAGGCCACTGTTTTGTGGGTTTGTTTGTTTTTTTTTTTTTTTTGGTATTAGAAACAGGAATCTTCCAACAATGGGGAGTTGGAAAGTCAGCAGCTAACAGTACCCACGTATGGAGTGGAGCAGAGAGACGAAGCAGACTGATGTATTAAATTCTAATAAAATTTGTTACTGATGTTTGTTTGCATTTTGTACAGAAAAGTCAGCCAAGACCTTGAGCTATTTCAACTGACCGTTTGCAGATGGTCAATATATTCAAAGTTGTGAGGGCAGGTGTTTCCTGGGATGAGCTGACATCAGTAATAAAAATAAACATGACACTGAGAGGCTCAAAGACTTTAGTGCATCTGTACTGCCGAGAGGGGCAGCAGGGGGGTATATGTTGTCCCAGGCTGGAGACTTCTCAGGGGCATAAATATTTAGTATGTGTGATGCCAAATACTAGAAGGACTGTAAGGGGGAGAGCAGCATTAGATTTAGGGTAATATATAAATGAACTCAGGTTCTTGTGTCACTGTTCTTTCTCACCTGTACCAGCCAAATAGTTGGTAGCTTTCCTAATAATGAGAATAAATGCACTGATAAATTGCATCATGGGAATCTTGCCCATATATTGCTTGATTTACTAATTAAGATGTCATTACCTATGGCCTCCTCTCTCCTTGAAGTGGAAGCAAGATGTAGAGGGGAAAGGCAGTGCAGGAACCTGAAGACAGAAAGAGTCTAAAAAGCCAAACTTTGCTTTCATTCGTAAGGTTTCCCACAAGAGCCTGAACAGATTGTGGGCTGTGTTGTCTTTTTGTCCCCTGGAGCCCAGTGAGGGGGAAGATGCCCAAGGCATCAGGTGGTGGTACTCTGGCAGCAGGGATCAGGTGGTAGCCCTTGCCTGAGCAGCATGGGCTGCTTCAGGCTGTGCCTGCAAGAGGTGCGCTGCAAATGTGGCCAGCTGCAACACAGGGAGCTGAAATCAAGGGGAGTAGTTCAAGAAAATAACATCTGTGTTGCTTATAAACACCCAATAAAGTGTCTTTTGAAGACACATATGTGTGTTTTTGCTCTGGTTCTACAGCCTGCAGACGTTTGTTATGCAATTACTGCCTCGAGAAACACAAACAAATAAATATCCTCTGATTCAGGCCATCTATGTATTAGGTAGACAAATACTGTCACTGGTCATTAAATCAGAGTTGGAGGTGGTCCGAGCAAAAAGCTGGGGAAGGAGGGTACAGCTACTAGGCCCAGTGCTTCCTGTCCCTTTACGATGTGATCTCTGGGTGTTTTAGGCAAAATAGTTCTTTTGGGAGTACGCTGGGATAAAAGTTGTGCTGCAAATAATGTGAATGAGTGAAACCCTTGTAACACAATTACAGTGAGTTATGATTCTGGATATGAATCCCTTTTTAGAATCCTGTTTTTAGGAGAAGATAAGAATATTCCCCTGACAAGCAGAGCTGCAGGGGACTTTGTGTTGCACCATATGCCTGAATAACTTGAAAAGCAGTTACAGATTTCATAATTGATGGTTTGCACATAAAGGAGAGCAAGCTTTGCTTAAAAGTCCTCTGCATGCGCATGGCTTACACAGCAGAACTACGCAAGATGAGGGCCTAGAACTGCATCATTCCTCTTCTTACCTGCGGCTGGGAAGCTGAGCGTTTTCCCCGAGGCTGTCGGCAGAGCTTGCCAATGCATCTAGCAGCTACGGAAAACTCATGGCAATTCTTAGCAAAAGCTGCTGCTTCACTGCAAGAAATAGTGGGGAAATACCTTCATCTCAAGCTGTTGTTTTTGGCCTTCATGAACCTGTAGAATTGTGACCCTAACATTTGAAATCACTTGGTAGGCTTTAAATCAAAATTCCTCCAGTTGACCACATACTGAATGGTGTATCAGGATGGTGTTATTGAGTCAACTGTTGTCTTCTGCACTCTATTAAAACATATGACTGTTTCTCTTGCTTTGCTCCTTGCTTCTTCAATTCTTCCAGTTCTTGCTACTGAGAGAAACTTGCTGCTTTTGGAAGAGAGAGCTGAATAGCAAAAATATCTACACCGTCACATTGACTTGTCTGTTTTAACATTTCGTCTTCACAGTCTAAAGTAGAGGCCAATCTTCTAGGCCCACAGATACTGTTACAACACAGGTGGTTCCTATAGTTCTTTGTGTGTTTGCTGCGTTGAAGAGCTCTCAAGCATGAGCCACGTATAGGTTTAATGAGAAACACACTATGATTTAATGTAGCCATTCAGATGGTTCATTGTTTGCTGCTCTTCCTTTGGTTCTTACCTGTTCCCTTGCAGTGTTTATTAACTTGCTGGTGCATTTTTTTATTTTTCACTATGGCAAAAAACAAAGCAAAAGCTTATCTTCAATGAATAATATAACTTATGGCACAGTCTTATCTAAGACTAAGTCCTATCAACTCTTATCTAATGTGAAAGTAAGGCTGTTACCTTGATCTTTCATCAGCTATCACTATTTCAAAGACTTTAAGTCTCTATCTCAGAATTTTAGTGCATTACTTCTTTTTTCGCTGATTCTTTCCTCCTAGAAATGTACTGACTTTTTCCTTTTCCCTCCTTTGCAATATGGCAAACTTCTTTGTCCCCTATCTTTCTCCAGATCTCCACCTCCCTGCCCTCTTCTAAGGTTTTTTACCCCCTTGCAGTAACTTTATTTACCTTTGACGGTGTCATCTTTGCTCCAGAACTACCAAGTTGTAGATAAAGTATTTTTATAACTTGATTACTAAAGCTGGGTCATTCCCAGTTGCGATATGAAACTGATGCTGTGCCTTGTGAATGATGCAACTCCGCACAGAAGTCACAAATCTCTGGAATGTTTCCGGTAGGTAATTCCATACAAAGAATGGACTGGTAATGACAGAGTGCCTGGAGTAAAACAGAAACACTGAGCTTGGGTCCAGATTGTTACTTTATTTAAATCTAAAGCTTCAAGACAAAGGGCAATCAATATTGGTACATAATATAATACAGTTAATATAGCTCTACTCAGAAACTTTGTATTTTTCACCTAGGAGATAGCCTTGAAAGTCAAAAAATGATTCCCTTATTTGCCAGTGGTTGGATTTATGTGCACAGACACTGAAAAGGTAATACTTCACTAAACAAATTGCTAGGAGCTGTTATTCAACACAATATCTTCAGACTTGTAAATTGTTATGCAGGGATCCTATAAAACAAGAGGACTGGCTGATGCTGTGGAGATGGGTGCCTCCCAGACGAGGTGCATGCCCTGGGCTCCACAGTCTCCCTGCAAAGGCTGGAGCGTTTGGCGTTTCCCTCACTAGCCACTTGCTGCCAGAGCAGGCAGCCTGCTGCCCTTGAAGGCAGGTTTCTCGTGTGCCTGTGTCCGCCAGCCAGCTATGACAACTGTCTATTAAGTGTTTACAGATCAAGCGCTTGAGCATTCATCTTTGATGTTACAGCTTGGTTTGTATTGCGGCTGTAAACATAGAAGAGATGGAGTCTATCATGATGGACCCTTTGATCCCCAGCTTCTCCAAGTCTGGCATCTCTCCTGTTAAAGCATATTGAAGAAAATAATTTGGCGAGGCTGAAGACTTGCCTTTTTGATAAGTTACCTGCGCGCAGCATGAGATTCTGCCAAAGAGATTTTTTCTTTGATCATTGCACTTAAATTAACAACAATATCTTTGACCACGCAGACTGCTAGACTAGGCTCAAAGGATGAAGAAACTTGTATTATCTGATAAAAGCATGCATCAAATAAAGTGAGATATATATGTAAAAAAACACTTACCTGCACTTAGAAACCCTTACTGTCTAAATAGAATATAATGACTTTCAAAGCAAGAAATAATATAAAAATGCTGATGTATATGGGGAATGGGACAAGATGTTGTTTTTTTTTAAAAGTGACCAGAACAGTGCTTTGAAAGGGTGAGGGAGGGGAGAAAAAAAAGCCTTTTAAAATTGCACTGTGCATCCTTGCTTTAATTTCTCTTCTTTATTTTCTTTATTCCTAATACATCAGAGAAGAAACAGCTTCTCCTTGTAATCATGGTAATGTTTATGATACTGTTTTTTTGAATTTAACTTGCTGTAAGGCTCGGAGAGACAAAAACAATAAGTCCTCTCTTGATTTAGAGCTCTTCTGTATCTAGAACCTGTGAAATAGGTCAGGATGTTTTGTATTTTATTTGGGGCTTCTATAATTACTTTCTTGTCTGTGAGATGCAGCAAAAGAGAAGTAGTTGCTTTTCTTCAGCACTTTGCTAAATTCAATGGCTTTTTTAAAGATAATTCCAAATGCATAATCCAGAGCGACAGTAGTTTAAGAGTGAAAACAGGAGCTGCTTCATCTGTTTTTGAAGAGAGACTCAAAACCTTCATTCCAAAGCAATTCACTGCATAAGCATATGTTACTATATTGTACACCTGATACAGGGAAGTTTGAGGAGAACCTTTTGACCAGGATATGTCAGAAGACATTCTTGAGAGCATAGTAAACTGAAGTTTATCATCTGGCTTACAACTGCCATTTAAGTACCTTTTTTTAATTTAAGAACAAGCAGAACTGGGTTAGTGGTAGTAACAGAGATATTCCCACATGTGTAACAGGAGATGGAGTTTACGCCCCTCTCTGCTTTCCATCAGTGCCTCTTCCTCTGACGCTGTACAGCCCTCTCCACTGACCCCCATGTGGCCTCCTCCTTTTCCCCAGTTCCCTGTGTGAGGGTTATCTGAGGGTGCTGAGCACTTTAGATATTGGGTATATGCAGGGAAACAGAGTAATCTAAGTTTTGTGCCATCTGTGTAAGTGTATGTAGACTTAAGTGGATAAATCTGACTGAGTAACCTGAAAATTATGCTATTTTCACCTACCATGTTGTGCAAATCACGAGATATAAGAAAAAGGGAAAGCAGCCCGTATGTGCCATAGGTATCTGAGAAGTAGCATGTATGAAACTGCGATAAAGCAATAACAGCAACAACAAAAATCCAGGTCTATTGAAGGGAGGCTCAGACCTTTAAATAAAACATGAAATATCCCTGAGTGAAATGCTTGGACACAATTTTATAAAACAGCTAGTGAGAAAAAGATTGCTTCCTAGTGGATGCATCATAAGGCAAGCTGAGGATAAACCCTAACTTACGTCACGCTTAATAGAACGAGCATTTTTGGGCTACGCAAAGCCACTGAATTGTCTTGTACGTGTGCCCCCTCCCCCCCCCCATTGCCCTAACAACTCATGTTGAAACTGCACGTAACAGTTGTCTGCTTTGGAAAGCTGGCGACACGCTACAATGTGGCTTGTTAGCAGAAGTTAAATAAAGGCCAGGATTACCTTATAAGCTTCATAAATGCTTTTGTAAGGTGAGTAGTGGAAGGTGCTAGAAGACTTCTGTCAGCTGCATAAGTATGGGGAAAGCAACATAGGCCTGTAACCTTCCAAAAAGCCTGCTACCTTCCGAAAAGTCTGTAACCTGCAGAAGGAGAGAGGTTAATGGAAAATACTGAGATCCAGCATATCATGTAAAACTCGAGACCTGCAGGTTTCTTGTATGCAATGTCCACTTCAAACTCACAGAAATACCAGCATTAACAAAATCCATTGACTGAATAAGGCTCCATCAGGTATATAAAGCAGAAAATATTTCATGGGGAAACTAGTGATACTGAAGTACATCTTAAAACATAATTATTGGCCTCCTCATTTAATGAAACGTTGCACCTCATTGGAACTGGTGGTCTGTGCAACAGTAAGGCTTAGGAAATAAAAGCAAGGCCTGCTTTTATCTCCCAAGAATCTAAAATTGTTCTAGGAAAAAAAAAATAAAGGGCCACGTTGATGTCAAGCTAACTTCCCAGATGAAAGGTGACGGAGTTGCTGATTCACCCTATGGCTTCACCATACTTCTTTTTTTTTTTAATTCTGGTTTCTGAGCCTCCTTCTGTGCTGGCACCCATACATATTTTGCATATTAATGCCTGGTAAATAGAACAACAGTCTACTTTGTACATGTGAGTGGGAAGCACACAGCTGGACTCTGCCTCCCGCTTGGTGCACGTGGAACCAGACAATTCATAATTTATGCTGCTGCTGAGTAAGTCCAGGCATTGCTACTATTAATTTAACACAGCTTACCTAGAAATTATACCAGAAATGATACTTAATGGCATGTTATTTCACTCTTTAAAAATAACATCTAATATGCACTTACAAAGGAAGAAAAAGGGAATGAAAACCTGTTTTTTCTGACACAGAAAAAATGGGAGGTTGCATATTTAGGGATATTGCATATCCCTAAATACACCCTGGCCCCTGAACTCCAGAGCTGCAGAGACTTCTTGGTTCAGCTTTGACTCCCCAGAAGGCTCTTGGGGGAAGGTTAGGGAAATAGTTCTGTTTGGTAGTCCCACAGCGAACAAATACTTCCCAGACGGCCCTGTAACTACCAGGCTGTCAGACCTGTCATGGAAACACGGGAACTTGACACAAAACTGCTTTTAACCTGTAATTTAATGTTTTTGTAAGGGAAATTGCCGAATCCTCATTTCACATAAACAGATATGAGTCATTACAGTGAGTATGTTTATTGTACATGGCAATTCTTTTCAAAACACACATGTTTAAACAGATGGCTTGTGTTGACTATTAATGCAATTCCTGCAATTAAGTGCAATCCAAATGAAGCAGACAAAGACTGACTTTCTATTGACATCAGAGCTGCTGTATTGCATCTTCTCCTTACGAATGTTCAAACTCAGATCTGCTACTACAGCCTTACAGAAATGTCAACCATGATAAGTCACAATGTAACTGAAGAGGAGAGATAAGGTACCTGGCATCTTGCTAATTTACCTTTTGACTGGGATTTACTAGTGCACACGCACATATTCATGCTCTTATATTTTAATGGTGAAAGTCCATGTCTGAGGTAATTACTATAAATAAACATAGCAGCAGGGTGAAATTTGGCTCTTCCTCCCTGTAGTGTAGTGGGCTATTGTATTCTTCTTCACTTAAATTTTGTACTGGAGGGGAAGGAAAAAAAAATCCCACAGGAAAGACATTCCATGTATGCCTTTGCACAGAGATATTTTCAAATGTCCTTTCATATTCAGTAATATGTGTGTATGCGTGGGAATGGCTTCGTTATGGCACAAAGCTCTGTAGTAGTTATGATACTTTGGTCCATTTGAACAGGGCCTGTGAACCAAGTTTTTGGAAGATCTCCAAGCGTCCCTGCATGATGCTGGACAAGGCTGAGATTGAAACAGAATAAGGTCTCTTTTATTGCTGACTCTGGCACATCTTCAGCATTCGTGCGCTGGGTGCTGTACGGTGGTAGCACACTGCCTCCTTGCTGAAATACCATAGGACATTGCAGAAGAGATCTCATTTCCAGCCACACTAATGCAAATATGCAGCCAGCCATATTCTGCAATCTAATTAAGGCTGAACAAGAGGAGAAACTTAATACCTGCAAACTACAAAACAACTAATTATTTCTCTCTGAGTGGTCATTGCTGGAAGTACCACCTGTAAACAGGCATTTCTGGGAAAGCCCTACCTACAAAAGCTATTTTAGGAACAAAATGTAGTATTTAAATTGCTTCTGATTTGCTTCTGGGCAGCTTTAACAGAATGAACAAAATAAGAATAAAAGGGACAAATACAATGCCTATTACACCAACTCTACAGGCTTTCATTTCAATATATATGCTATAATAAACACAAACTTTACAGAGCAATTATTTCAGTGCTCTAGAGCAGTATTATGTCAAAAACCCTTTCAGGAAAGCCAGTTAAACAGCCTGGCTGTGGTAGATCTGCTCTCTAAAAAGCTATAGTTACACTTCAGTTGACACAAAGCCCCAGGAAGGAAGCCTTCAACCCAAGACGGGAACAGTTTGGCTGCTTTTCCAGTAAAGGGGTAACTACAGCAACCACTGGGCATGGCTATTAGCTTGCTACAGCAAGAGAGAAGTAAACTTAGTCATGCTGCAGGCCCAACTGATTAAATATTTGTGAAGCTCATTTAATGTCCTTTCAGCAAGTGAATGTATAATGCTCTAAGCGGCTGTAATTATCATGCATAAGAATAACCTATGAAAACAGATTCTTTTTATAACTTTTCTTGAAAAATGGCTCCCGAGCAGTAAAGGTAATGCACAGATACCAGAAACATGAGAAAGGTGATTGCAAGTGTAGCTAATAAGGCTGGCTCCTCAGACTGCCTGACACTTCCTGTTGTCAGAGCTGGGCTTCTGTCACTTGTAACTTTGCCAAATTGCAAGTGTTTGGCCTAAACTTTTCTATCCTGACTGATAACCTCAGGCTACATTTTAGTGGAAAACACTGATCAAAAGGCACAACCCTCTCTAAAGCTCAAGCTAATGAAAGAGATCTTGGTTTTAATTCCTATTTCCAGAGGCTTGGAACAATGGCCCAAATACAGCATGGTGTGGCTTCTGGAGCAGGGACAGCACTTCTGAGGCTCTTGTGCATGCTGGAAAGTGTTGATAAACTGCAATTTGCATGTGTTCAGTGTGGACTTGCTTAGTAGCTAAAATATCAGAGTGTTTTGTCTGCTTTGTGCATGCTTGATGAAATTAATTTAGCTTATTTCTGGTCAAGCTGTGCAAGCATGGCCTCTGAAGAGTAATTAAGCCCAATTCAGCTCACTGCTACAAGCAGAGCCGGGCTTTGCCTGCCCAGGCTGTGCTGGCCCCCAGCACAAAGCTTGCCTTCTCAGGGCTCTCGACGATTCTTCTGCTACAACTTGGTAGACGCAGGAAAAGAAACGTCTACGTGGGGAGAAGGAGTAGCAAAGTACCTGAGAGGGGGACCATGAGATGGGGGGAAATGCAGCTGTGAGAGAGTGAATAACATGGTGAGGAGACCGGGGGAGGGCTTTTTTTTTTTCTCAGAGTCCTCTCCTGCAGTGGGTCGATAGTACATGGGGGATGAATAGGCGTTTCTCTACGTGCATTTTTAAAGTTTAATATAAAATTAAGACATAATAAATCTGGGAGCAGCTCTAAAACTATCAATCAAAAATATCAGTAGAAAGAGATTTGAGCCAGGGTAAAACTGCAAAGGAAGTGAAATACTTCCCTTTCAAAAGGAGCAAGTGAAGTTTAAAGCACTGACTGTTACCAATGAATGCCTGCAGGTAACATTTATTTAAAAATTTTTCAAATCTGAATTATGGAAGAAAGTCGAGGAAAATGATTAAATTGTGGCTAACATTCTTTTTTGAATTTTACCCCCTACTATGTTAAACAAATGATGTAATTGTGCTTGTGCCTGTTTTCAGCTTCCTGTCTCTGAGCTTATTGGCATTTCCACGTGTCTGTGAAAAGGTAAAACTGGTTTACTGAGAGATTATAGAGCAGTTAGTTAATGTTGGCTTAGGCAATGATTCAGCTACTGTCTGATATTGAACATCACTCTCTACTTCCTTTTGGCTTGTCAGTAAATATGGCAAACTTTCCACAGCCATACCAGTAAGTTAAGGAACCTCATGGATAAAATAAGCAAATAAGAGTGCTTCTCCTCTAAAAGCTGAATCACGTCTCAGAGCAGGAGCTGTTAGTTTAACCCTGCAGCTGCTGCATGGCAATAGGGTCCCTGGGCAGTGCTTCTGCTCTCCCTGCTCTTGGCCACAAGGACAGGGCCCTGCTGGGACTATCCCACATAACACAGAAATAGATGTCAACAGCAACCAGCTTTTGCAACACTTGCTACAAGTGAGCAGCTTTTGATTTTTCCACCTAGAAGCAATCTGTCTGCATGCAGCAAAGCACCAACAGGTTTCTTCCTGGCTTGTATGCCAAGTGTGATCCTCTGCTCAGAGAAAGACGCTTCATTGGGCAGCCTCTCCAAGCTGACGGTGTTGGCATATTGGTGGTATAATCCTCCCTTCTCCGTGTTGCTCGGCTCGGGCAACTCGTACTGCACGCAAGGAGACAGTCCAAGCCAGAGATACACCCATTCAAGGTACAATGCAATTATTTGCTTCCTTATGCACACAGGAGCTAGTGGAGACTCACATGATGAGAGCTGGCAGGGAGCCAGCAGCAAGGGCCAGGGCCTCGTTCCTCAGCCTTGTGGACTTGCCATCTTCTGAGTCCATGTTTTTCTCTCAGGGCTTCATAACTTTGCAGGTATCTCGTGCTGAATCCCCAAGCCACTCGCTGTCCCCATTTTAACAATCTTACTTCTGCCTATGATTTCACCCTCCTCAGCTTGCCCAGCTCCGGCCAACACACTGTCACATAGCTCCTTCTGCCAACACAGCGATTTTCTCAGGAGCCTGAGTGAGGGTTACACTGCTGTGCTGTGCAAAACAAGATTGCAGACACCTGAACCCCAGCAAGGAGGGCAACAGTGGAGGTGCCACCATGACATCTGCATTTCGCTGGTTCTGTCCTGAGCAGGTAGGCCTGAGAAGTCTGGCTTTCCCCCTGCAGTGTTAGGCTGGCACTGAGCTGAGAGCCCGTATCTTGGATTAGATAGGACTGCCCAGAAACCATTTCAGAGTGTCATTAGTGAAGGCCAAAATTAATTCTCTCAATTGTCTAATCTTGAGACAGCCCTGTTAGTCAAAGTCTAAAAAAAAAATACCTGGTACTGGACGGTTTCTGCTTGCATCAGCAAAAGAGTTATTTATTCCTTCCACTGAAGTGCCCATCTAGCAGTCCTAATGGAGCAGAGCACAGAAAGTATCCATGGCTAAGCACTGCAACTCAGGGACAAACCCAGCTCCCAGTTGAGAGAAAGTAATCAGAGGTTGTTATAGACCTGTGACATATTGACAAGGACATAAGAGTCAGTGCCACACATTTCAAACTCTAGTTTTATGTGATAAAAACAGACAATTTTTTTTTGTTGTTGATGTTAAGTATATCAACATTTAAACATTATGATCTGAAAGTGCCATACCTGAAGTGAGGGGAGTCAAGGTAATCTCATCAGTCATAGAATCTGAGTAGTGACCATGAAAGATAACAGAGATGAGAGGCTGAGCAACTTGGACTCCCTGGACATGCTGAGCAAATGCCATGCTGGGACACTGTGCAGAATGATTGCTTCTTTCTGCAAGCAGTCAGCGACCACACATATGAGAAGCCATCCTGATGCTCTCCTGGTCAATGTGCAACATTTGTAAGAGTGCTTGTGATTTGCAATAGTGACCATCATGTACTCAAACATCAGCCTTGTAGGAGGAAAAAACAGATTCACTACAGTAATACATAACTACACAGAAATGAGGAGGCTTGCTAAAAGGAAATCTAATTTAAGATATTTGAAGAACCCTAACTAGAGGCTTGGATGTATGCACACCTCGCTAACATGCCTTCAAAAGGATCAAATCACAAAGAAACTGGCATGGCTCAACAGGAAAGGGAGCCTAGTAGGAGCGAACAAACATCCTCCACAAAGTCACATCCAAATCACAAAAATAGAGATCACAAGCTCTGGTTTTAGAACTAACTTCCCCAAAAAGGAAGCCATAAGAACTGACAGAAATCTCACAAATGCATCTGAAGTGGGAAACCTGCAAAAGGTTTTCAAGGGCCAGATGAGGAACTAGTATATAAAAGATTGCCCATGAAATAAAAGGTTATATAGAAAACCTTGCAAATGGGTCAGTGCTGTTTAATATGGAGAAAGTCAGGGAGGGTCCTACAGGGGGATCTTTCTTTATAGGGACTGGGTCCAAGGAGCTGCCTAAAACAGTAGTGTCCAGTATCACTAACTTTTGAAATATATCAATAAACTGAACTGTATAAAATTGTCAGGATCAAACAGTGCTCAGCTGAGAACTCAAGGACAGGATGGTGGCAGATGTGACATCAGTTTTAAAAAAGGGCGTCCAGTTCATTAATAATGATGAGAAAGATGAGAAACAATTTCATTTTGACAGCGAGCCCAGAAGTGGTTTGACAGAGCAAAATTAAGATGGGGAGTAATCCCTGGGATGAGACTTGCATTTGGCATCCTTCAGCCAGTGCACCAAGCAGTTTAAGATGCAAAATGGCTTCAGAGGAGCCTTCTCAGCAAGGCAGCTTGCACACAGTGCAGCGCATCTTCCTTGAGCAGACGACTCTCTTCTTCTGCCACCTGACCTGACCCATTTCTTTTGTTATTTGTAAGTCTTAACCTCATTAGCCATAGTGAAGGATAGCAGACTGCTTGGAATTACCATATTCCTTTTACTGTCATGCGTCATGGCTGCTCTGTGTCTGTGCTCTTTGGCCAACAAGTAGAAATTCTTATATGTAACAGTACATTTGGCACTTGTGGTCATCCTTCTATATTGAAAACATGTAAAAATATCTTACTTTAAGACTTACCACGTCAGTCAGTCCACTTGAAAAGCTTACTCACTGGTTAGTCTAAATAGTGTCTCTTTTTAAGACATCTTTTGTTCCACTCATAGTAGTTGCACGTTTCTTACAGATTCCCAGTGAAGTACTGTTCCTGCCAAGTTTCAGGATAAGAGGGACATTCTGAAATTGCATTTATTTTATGAATTACATCATGTTGCTACTCATTTGACCCATTCAGGAAATATTCCCCTTCTTTCATAAAACCTTGCTTCTGCTTCCTGGGGAAAGAAACTGTTTTCATTTTCATTCTTGCTTGGTGGCAGAGCAGGACATTTTTTAAAATCAAGTTAATGAAAAAGAATGGCAATTCATGTGGTATCTCCAGGGAGATTTATGGCTGCACAAATTGCAAATCAAATTACCAGGTGCACAACACTGACACAGTGAATAGAGGAAAAACATATTGCTAAAGAGAAATTTTTCTTCAGAAACACAGGAAATAAAGAAACTTAGGAATGGGTGGTTGAACAGTCCCGTTTTTTGCAGGCATCCCCTCCTGCCGCATTATAAAGCTTGCCCAGAGCCTTGCTCTTTGAACGGGTAGATGCCTTATTTTCAGCCATTGACAATCTCTATCTACCATATTGTTCTGATGCCAGCATTGGCTTTAATAGCTCTTCCCCGGCCATGGCATTTGTGGCAGCTATAAGGGAAATCTGTATCCCCATCACGCTTCATTTTGCTCAACTAATCAAGCCAAGCTCTTTTATTCTCCTCTTATAAAGTATACTCTCCTGTCCCATGGCCATGCTAGCAGATGAATTTGAATTCATCTTTCTTGAACAGGGGTGACCTAGACTAGTAAAGGCCTTCATTTAAAAAACCCTAATTTGTGTTACATGAGAAACCTATAAGGGCTATTAAAAATGAGGGTGTAATCTAGTTCTGTGTGCTTTTTCTGACTTTATTATTTTAACCGAGAAAAACAAACATTAACATCATGGAAGCACATGATATAGGCTAACCTGCTCTAAGCTTAAAATGAACAATATTATAATCAAACAAGAATTGCAGATGAGATTAGATCAGTGTGTTAACAATGATGATGGCTTAGTTCACCATTTTATCAAATCATAACGTTAGCACAGCATGTAATCAAATTGCATGGATGACACAGAGAAGAATTGCTATTTGTTAATTTTCATCAGATGGTTGAAAGAAGAGTTATTTCCTTGTGTTAAAGTCCTTTCTATAATAGAGAAGTTGACCTACCTGGGGATTGCCAGTGCCAGTGACTGAGTCCATGAACAAAGGACACTGCCTGGAACAGACGATAAAGTCTAGTTAGCTAACATTAAGGAAGTACAGAGATGTAAGTAGGCTCTTTGTTATTTTCTGCTTCAACACTTTCTCCTTGAAATTTCATTGCAGTTGCAGAGCTGTTGTTTACTCTCCTTACTTATTACCTGTCTTTATCCACAAGAGCACAAAGCTTGTAAAGGACTTTGTAGCAAGGTTGATTTCTGGAGCAGCCTTATGACTAACGACAGTAGGTCAGTTCTAGGTTTTGGATGGCTCTTTTCTGATCTCAGTTCAGACAGCAGGACTGTGGGCTGGGGTCTGTTTCTCTGGGAACTATGGAGCTTCTCTACAAACCAGTAACATCTCCTCTTCTTTGCACACTGAACCACTGGATGACAGTCAGGTTAGCATACACTTTGGATATGGTCTGTGTGACCCAGGCCTCTTCAGATGGGAAATCTTCAGATCTAAGTCTCATTCAGAGACTCTTCATCACTCTATGCTAAAGAAGAAAATCTCATAAAGGATCCATCTACCTTTTTAAATACATAATCACCTGTTAGGTACTGAAAATCACACAACTGGAAACATTCGTTTATTTATTTCATCTGAGAAGACTTAATAACTTACATGCCAAATGTATTTTTCAAGATAATGATTCTTCCATATCCACTGAAGTTTTCCAATTTATGAATAATACTATTTTTTATAAAAATTCTGATTTCATCAAATGCCAGAAGTATATCATTCTCAGTGGTCATCTCTTTTCTTTGCAGTACATAAACAGGTTGCATTTTGGAGTCTAACTGACTTTAGATCCTAGCCTAACATTGTATGGTTACATCTTCTCAGTACTTATTTGAATGTTTAGTAAAAAGAAGTGTTTTTCAAATTATCTCCTAGGTATAAAAATTGTATTTTCATACATTTTATAGCATTAATCATGAAAGATAAAAATTTGAAAAAATTGCATTTTTCCACTTACAGCCTGACAAACTCATTTATGATGAGCTGGCTGATGAAGTTATTAATTATAGTATGCTTTTATCCTTTCCTGACTACACCAATTCCCAGAAATAATGTAAATGGTGCTTCTGCATACAGTCCAACTCCCTAGTAAACATATCCATCTGCTCAGTATTTTCCTTCTTGCATAACTTTTACCTCAGTGGTAAAAGCAGCTGACTGAGGACATTAGGCAAGAAATACGTTTGTTCTTACAGATTGTCTTGTTAGAATGAAATTGGAAATTGGGTGACGTCAGTTCCAGGAGACTGTACCTGTGGTTATCAAGTGCTAGCTACAGTGCTCCAGGGCTGGGGTGATGGGAGTTCACCTCAGTATGAGGAACTTGCTTGTCCACCTCTGGAGAGCGTGCCAATTTGAGATGGATTTTTCTCAAAATTGCACGTTCTCAAAGTAGATAAAATTTCATGTGGTTATGGGCCAAATTCTCATGTCATGGAAATGGCTATGACTCCACTGATTCTGAGTGTTTTTCTTCTTCTCAAGAGCAGCAGTGTCATCAGATTCCACTGTCTTAATGCCAGAGACGTACATATGGTGATTACATGAAGTTTAGGATAGTGGCAAGATCTTTCTAAACTCTGTTGGAGACTGGAGGTGAGTTCACTCTCATCCTGACAACAAGTTTCAGAAAAGGATGCTAAGAAAATTCAGCTCCTCAAAGTTGTGTATACTCACTGGCTCTCTATTTTCTACATAAAATCTCAGGTTCCCAGTTTTATGCCAGGGATTTTTCTGCAAGCAATTATCAGTTTCACAGGCCCCAAAGCCTCTACACGAAAGAAATCTCATTGTAGACCAGACCAGTTCAACATCTCTCTTGTATGTTTGTATGTTGTATGCTGTTAAATCAAAATGCTGACTACAGAACCTGATCTGCCAGCTGCCACAGTGGCAAGTGCCTGTATCATATCTCTTCTTGTGAAATGAAAGTGAACAAACTACAGAGAGTCTGTGTTACTTGGGCAGTCACTGTAGCTCACCTTACTGACATGTGGTCAGCTGCCTTGGTCCCCATCAGAGAGCACTCTCCTGAAGGAATCTGCCAACTCACAAGCTCACCTTTGCTGGGAGGCTCTGTGTCTCCATGCTGACTCCAGCTTCTCTATGAAAGAGCAAAAAACATTTTTCAAGCAAATGAAAAACTTAGTTCAGTTCAAAGTAATAATTAAGAATTCAAATGATAGTAATAATTCAAAATAATAATAATAATATAAAATAATCAAAATCCTGATGTAGAGAGGTTCTGAAATCTGAAGGTCAGCATGGAAACAAGGCACAAAGAAAGGAATGTGTGCAAGTCCAAAACACTTGGGTATCTAATCAGAGCATAATCTGGTATTAAATAATGGTGAATAAGAGTTGAACCTGGGCAACATGGGCAGCTAGGCTACAAAATGCTTGTGCTGGAGACTATTCCTTTAGAGGTTTCACCTGGAGTGAAAACAATCATTTTGATATTTTAAATGACTTTTAAACTGTACTGAAAACAGAGAAAGGTTTGAATGTGAGAGGTTTTCAATCTAGCAGTGGAATTCAGACGGATCCCTGTGCCTGCACAGTTAACCTATTTATACGACTACGGTTTGGTACAACGTTTAGGGGCACAGGGCTCTTGCCTGCAAGTCAGGATTGCCATCTTGAATTCTTAAAATGCATAATTCAAGACAGACTTGTCATTCAAATAATCCAGATTATCTCATTGATTTGCACAAAAGAGACTTGTCATTCAGTCTAGATTATCTCATTGGTTTGCCCAGACTCCTGCAGCAGAGCATGTGAATGCTTAATTCATGGACACGTTTAATATTTAACAGAGTGCTTCTTTGTTATAGTAACAACAGGGAAAAAGTACATATGGTTCATTGCTGAGAAAAATAAAGACCTAAAAGCGCAGTAAGCAGAGGCTCTTGATTTCTTTCTCATCTGCTCAGTACAACTACAACCTTTCACCTAAAAAAAAAAAATCTGCAAAAAGTAGCTGCTATGTTATTATTTTTATTAGGCATTATTAAATAGCTTTTCCTTCCTTTTGATAAGGGGCAGCTTACAATACATTCAACAACTTACAGTGCTATTCCTATCCATAAGCTTCAACCTTTCAAAGTCACATATGCTGACTGTTCAGAAGGTTAATGGATTCAAGAGAAAGGCAAGCATATGAAATAAGGTTAAATTTATAAATAGCTTTATGGTTGAGCCCTGGCACTTAGGGTGGTGGAATATGCTGAAAACGAAGAGTTTGTGTTTCCCAACATTTTCTACAAATAGTAAACGGATTATTAGTCTAGGCCAGGCTGCCTTTACTGCTTGCTAAGCAGGATTCAGGAGGCTATGGCCTCCTTCTGTAGCTTTAGAGTTGCAATTCTCTTTTTATCTAAGGGGTTAGGAAGATTAGAATATAGCTAGAACTGCCAAAAATTAGCCAGAATTGGATGTTGCCAAAGGACTGAATTCTTCTTGTTTTTTCTCTCTTTTTTGTAGAAAAATTTTCATGTGTATTCTATTTGAGGTCAAGCAAAAAGAAGTGGTGCTGAATTGCAGGGGTGGTGCGACCAGTAAGGAGCCTCTTTGGTGAAAGGCGCAGGTGGAGAACAGAGCAGTAGCAGTGCATCCCCTGCACTTCCTCTGGCCATGGGGCCTCACTGGCTGGTGCTAAAGGCAGATAGATGGTAAAGAGGGGGCAGGACAGCTGGCTTTCTCCCACACCAGAGAGAGCTACCCCGGGGTGTTCTTCCTCCTTTCTCTCTGTCTCACAGCCACCACTGGGAGCTGTGATGAGCACCCAGGCTGGCACTGGCATATTTAATCATTAGACCCTGCACACCAAGGACTGCTGTTTCACAGGCCATCAATCTGTCTAGACTACAATGTCATCTAATCCTTTGACAAAGTAGCCATTACCCCCATTAATCATACCACCCAGCTTTGGCTTATCTGCAAATTTTTTAAGCACCCAGGTTGTTTGGGGACTTTGGCTCTCCTTAGTGTTAAATATTAAGCACACTGGACATCAACAGCAATCCATGAGGAACTTCACTGGTATTACTATGAAAAACTATTATTTTTTGGAGGGATTATTTCTCCAACTTCACAATTTCTCTTTGAACATGAGATGCGACAATCTCCCCTTTAGCTACCTTATACTTATTCTTCTCATCTCTATTTTAAAACAATGGTTTTAAAATAATTTAAATATTTTAAAATAATAACTAAACTTTAAATTATATTTTTAAAATAATGATTTGCCACTGAGCACTGTATCAAATGCACTCCTTAAATCCACCTAGATTAGGTCTGCCAAACTATTCTGGTCTGTGGAGCTAGTTACATGGTCAAAAGAAAGATAGCAAGCTGGTATGACATGATCGCCTTTTCATAAAACTATGCAGCAAATTACTCCACTCAGGAATAATTTTTTTCTTTGGGTATCTGCACTGCATCTTCAGCCTAGGTATCCCACGTGACTCCCATCCACCCCCGTCCTAAGCCAGGGCTATGCTGTTCTTGCCCAGGGTCCCAAAGTCCTCCATGGGTTGTAGCGCTGCAGGGGAATAGCATGCCCAAGTGGGGCTGAGTTTGGATTTTAATTTGCTACGGAGGGGTTACGAGAAGTGGCAGCTGTTTGGGAGTTTCTCCTTCCTTTTATTGTTGATTAAACCAAACAGGTGAATTAAACTAAGGAGCAACTTGAGCTTAATAACAATGAAACTCAAAAAAAGCCCACTTTCTGATCTGGCACAATTATATTACAGTATTTAATTAAAAACACTGGCAGTCTTGGATTTAGCATAATGAGTGTTAAATTTGACATCTACAACAATTTTATGAACCCTCATTACTGAAATTTCCACATGAAATGAAATGCAGTCCAGATTTCACTAAAGCAATATCAATATTTACATGGATCTGCTACTGGAGGGGGAGTGCCTCATTGCCTCTGGAAAAAAAACAGCAGTTCTTGGCTACCACTTTAAGTATCTGAATGTCAGAAGAAGCTGGACTGCACCAAGTTGTAAAGGAGACAATAGGTCCAGATACGAGAGTGGAAGTTAAGAGGTGGACTTCTGCTTTTAAAATTACGGTTGAGTTGCTCAGTATTACATACCAGTTGAGAAGAACGAAAAAATAACAAACTTAAGGGCAGATATTGCATGTCTGAATTCCAGTTCTGTACTTAAAGGAAAGCTGTTATTACAACATGCTGATGCAAAAACATCTTACCTCCAAGTTCCTTACTTGTGAGATAAGAAATAACTTGCCCTTTATATTCACATACATAATTACTTCCTATTTGAGAATCCTGGTATAATGTATACCCAGATTACGCATGAGAGACAATAAAGTCTGAATGAGAAGTGTATTTATCTTTAGTAGAAATTTAAAATATGATAAACTCTGAAATTAGATAAGCTTTAAAAATGCTTCTGAAAGGTTTGTTCTCATGTGACTAGTTACAATCTCAACAGTGAAATGGAAATACAAATAAAGACAATGTTCTTTAGTAATAAGAGATTACAGTAACCCTCAGTCTGTCTTTGCACTATTGCTGAGATGCCTAGAAAGACATTTCACTAAAAGCTAGTAACTTACCTGCTCATGAGTATGCTCTTGCAGCTCAATGGTGGATTGCCTTGCAGAGTCTTGAGGATCCCTAACCTATGGAGAGGGAGCCTGCCTAACACTTTTCTAGTTCAGCTTTGAATAATGGATTTTCCAGCCCCTGATGAAGTACAGCGCCCAGCGTGTGTGCAAGAGGAACTTCGGATCAACTTCATTACTACGGGTAAAAGAGAAAAAAAAACTAGTTTAAAAAGCATAGATTGGTAATAATGGAAGAAACATGAAAATAAACCTATACAATGTGCTATTAGCACTATCAGTGTAATTCATAGTAAGATTCCTCCTGTGTTGCACCAGTGCCTCAACTTGTTGATATGGCCAATGTGATAAACTGCTACTATCTGTGCTGAAACTGCAATTTTCTGCAGACTTTTTGTACTGTATCTTTCTTGCTTTTACTATCAAAGGTTCAATTACCAGGAGCAATTGATCTGGAAACCTACTTCTTCCTTGAATGGAAATCTCTTTTTTTCTTTTCTTCCCTACTCTTTCATCTTGCTTCCCTGCCCTTCCTGCCTTGTTGTTAGGAACTAGATCATAACAGAGAAATGTGGGAGACTGAGTCATATCTTTCCCCTCTTCATCTGGAATAACCCAGCTGACAACCTATTGTATTGTTTAATTTTTCTTTTTTTGGTTGGCTTCTGCTTTAAGACTTTTGAAGACACCTTGATAAAATTGTGCCCATTATATAATGAGAAATATCAAATGCACAGTCTTCTTGATACACCTGTAAATCTCCTCTGTCTCTGAGAACTGACATAAGATATAGACCACATAATGTAGAATGCACAAAATGCAACAAATGGCAAAAGTGAGCTTTAGTGTTTACTTTAATAAGCTTTCCAATAAGTGGGCCCTTTTTAGGACTCTGTCATAGTTGCCAGGCTCAATATATTTTCATGAACAGCTATCATGGACTACGTTTTCAAAAGACTCAGGCAACTTCCAAAAAGTAGGGGTTTGAGCCCCAATTCCTAGTTGATTAATTAACATAATAATTGAGTACTATGGATTGTTGATACACCTATGGCTACAATCAGTGTATTAAGAATAGCTTTACTGAATTACATTTCTGACTATCAAACCAGTATATCACATCTGACCTTTTGCCATTGCTCTAAATGCTTAATACCTGCTCTCTCCCTGTGGTAACTACAATCTTAACTACTTAAAATATCCTAAAGGAGCCACAACAAAGGCTCCCCATTCCCACTATACAACACTACAGTTGAATGTAGTTTCTAAGCAGTACTGGAAGTTTCCAAAATTATGACATCTTTTGGGTACTGCAGTTTGGATTAAGAAGTCAATAATTTATGTTTGAGAAACTATCATTAAAACCTCTCTAGCATATCATTATTACAAATAGCCACCATATTGTAGTGAGCTCTTGATCAAAATGTATTGTCTTTCACGGCATTCTAGCTATCATTTTAAACTAAATGTTTTTTCCACTTTTAACGGAGCTTGGAACACATTTATGTATCAGAAAGATGTATAACTGTACTGTTAACAGAGGCTCCAGTTTTTCATTGAGGCCTATAAACTTAAGGCTTAGTATTGGGATCTTAAAAAGTTTTCCAAAATCTCTACTGATGTGAGAGAAGGTATAGATGTTCTGAATCCATTAATGCAAATCAGAACAACATAAATACCTGAAAAAGCCTGGCCTAATGCAAATATATTGTATTTCAAAGCAGAAATTTGCTTGTCATATATTCACTAAGAATCAACTAATAATTAATGTAAAGAGAAATGAAAGCCAATATATATCTTAATGAAAGGAAAAGTCCAAAAAAGACCAGACAAATAGTGGTCTGTTGTCCTTGCATCAGCAACACATTTTTAAGGCAAAGTTGACTTTTACTTGGGACATAATTTCTCTTCACAGTTCTATTTTGACTGAGTAGATGTGAAGCTCATTCTTTGCAATCCTATGAAAGAGGAAGTCTGCATTAAGATGGATTTTCTGGTTTTCTCTATGAGAGTATTTTCTGCTTTTGAATTTTCTCTGCTGCCAGGGGAAGCTGGTTGGTTCCTTGGACTTTATAAAATGGTATTGCTATACCGATAGCAAATAGGTAGACTAGAGTGAAAAAGTTAGGGCCTTGTGGGACTATTCATTTTTGGTTAAGTTAATAGCAGGTGCTTATATCTAGGTGCCTATTACTCATGATAATGGTGTACTGCACATAGATTGCTGTTTGATAAATTTAATTCATACTGTGCAACCAAGTATGTAAAAGCCTGATCTTACAAAACTGACATTTTTATACATTACAGACGGTCAAATAGGCACAGAAAGTAAATGCTAAAAGACAAATATGGGATTTTCAGTGGAAGCAACAGAGCCCCACAAGGCAATCATTTTGGACTGTGATACAGTTTATGAAACACTGAGATCCCTTGAACTGGTCTTTTGGGTATTACCCCAATGTACTTGTAGTACCTCTGATAATACTGCTACCACAGCTAACAAGTACAAGCCATATGGATACGAGGATTCCCTATTTGATATAAAAGGTGTTTCTCATTAGCTCTTCAGGCATTGTATTATAGACATTTTAATGTGTTAACGCACATTAAAATCCTGAAGGCGTTTTCAAAAGTCCTGCAAATGCTTCTTCAGGAGCATACAAGAAAGGGTTTTTTTGGATAATGTGAAATGAATAAAAGTTATACACTGGCCTTATTTCATCCTGACACACTGATCATAATCAGTGCATTTTTGGTCCTATACTTTTTGGTAAACATCAAGAGGTCTGAACCATAAATTGCTGAGAAGAATACTATGACTCACAAGACCCTGGGAATAATTCTTAACATGTCTTGACTTTGTATGTTGTAGCTACATTGATTCTAACAGAGTTATTCCAATTGTAAATTGACAGAAGAGACAAAAGAATCACACATAGTGTTTGTTTATGTTATGTACGTGCGTTGCTATGAGAGTTGAATATTGTGAAGAAGAAACATCTGAAAACAATATCTCTTTGGAATAATCTCTGCTGTGCAAGATTTATTCTGGGGGCAGTTAGCCCATCCTGATTCACAGATCTTTTGTACAGAGTCTTTCCTGTGACTTAAGTGGTGGCCTTGACAGATGATCTCCTGGATGACTGCTTCTCTGCATCAGCAAATAAGGTAACTCATGTTAATGTTTCCAACCTCAAATAAGATTTTGAAAATTGGGGAGGAGTCTTATAAATAGATACTGTCAAAACTAGGTTACAATAAACATTTTGTACTTCCCGGTCCTTAGGTAATTTTATTTTAAACAAAAGCAATGCTGTCTAGTTCAGCAACGTCTGGAGTAAGGGTGACTTCTGTGAAACTCTTACTCAAAAGTAAGAAACACTTACTTTTGGTTTTATGAGTTCATAGAAAGTGGGATATTTGCAATTTTTCCTTCCTCTGCTGTATTATTTAAAGACTGACCTCCATCTGGGAATGCACTAACTCTGTCAGTCAACAATAGATGTTGTAACTGTGCAACATTTTACTGTTCTTCTCTTAGCCATTTCCAAATCACACTATGGCTTATAATAAATTACTGATTGTACTACCGTTCAGGATCTAATTTCTTCAAAATTAGCCAGTATTTTTCCAGAAAAGCACACACACTTGCCACTCAGAAAATTTATCTTCAACAATGCTGTCATTTATGATTTAGTGTTTTTTTGCTGGAGAGCTGTTCCAGCATCCAAGTGAATGTGCAAACGTGCATTTCAATTTAGCAAATGAAATGGCTTGGTTTTGGATTAATAGATATTCACACATGCTTTAAATATGTTGATCTACCAGTCACGTTTTGTTAAATTATTTTTTTGATGTACATTTCTAACTGTTCATTTCAGGTTTCCCTTTGGACAACGTTCACGTAGGACTGTTAGAAATTTGTCCTTTATCACACTTCCTTGTCTCCTGGCGTCTTTTAATTCTTTGCCTTAGCTGTCAGAAATAAAACTAAACACAAAAGCAACAAAAGTTCTTAGCTACAACCTTTTTCTATAAAGAATGTTCTGCAATTGATTTCGTCATTCCCTCATGAAAGATCTGATTAGCAAAATACATTTCTTTAATCAGCAATCAAATTAAGTTTCAAATATATATAAAATGAATGACCTTTACACAACTTCAGATTGGCAAAATTTTAGGAGAACTGAAATTGTGAATACTTGAGAAACTATTTTAACGTTTTTGGATATTGTAGCAGCGCAGCCAATTTCTGCAAAAGAGAGCAAGCCATAATCCTGAATAGGCCACTATGTAAATGTTTGTCATAATTTATGCCCAAGACCTGAAATAATGGACTGAGGTACCTTGAATGTAGTGAACTTCATTTCTGTTGAAGGAGAGACCAGCCATTACCCTAAGCTCACTACATCCACAGATTTGCAGTTGGACTGTGTTTTCTAGTACAAACACCCATTAATTCCCTGCCAGTTCAGATTCCATGCCAGTCAGGCGTAGAGTCTGTGTTTTTCGGAACTAGCTATTACAGCACTCCCTTATGCACGTTGAAGGGCGGTGCCCCACATAGTGCAGCTCCCCTATTCTGCCACTCTGATAAGCGCTTCTTCAAACCCTGTCTTCCCATACACAGACACCTTGCGTAGTTGAGAGCTCTCTGTTAAACTGCAACTGTGGTTCAACCTGTCCTCTTGAATGTGAGCTATTATATACTTAAGAATATATATACTTACTAATATATATACTTAAGACCACTGGATTGAGAAGTCTGACTTTGGTCATTCTTCTCTGATTATTGATTATAATGGGATTTTTTGGGGGGCTTTCCCGGCTAGAAAGCCTTCTGTCTTTGATGAGAAACCTGTAAGGCCACAAAGTCCAATGCCATTATTTCTACATACTCACAGAATCATAGAATGGAAAACAAGCCAGAAAAATTTTCTGTTGTAACTCATACCTTACTCTTATAATGAATAAGCTCTGATCAAGTGAATAAAATTATAATTATCATTCAAAAGCAAATTTGTTGGGTCCAGACTAGACTAGTATTGCTTCCTTCCCCACTCAAAGGCAACATATTTATTAAAACAAGTTCATTTTTATTTCAACCAATTTTCTTACATAGCTAATGGCTTTTTCATCTTCACAGCACATCGCTGAAGAAAAAAAGCTATGATTCTCAGAAATACCATCAAATAAAATCCTCATGAAAAATTAAGTTAGATTCTTCTTATGATAGAACTTAGCTGTTTTTGAAGATTCCCTTGCTCAGGATAAAAGATATCAAAGCAATTTATACTTCAAATCTCAGTTGGTAGGACATATATGTGATCAATACTGATCAGACAGACCTAGCCTCTTGGCCTAGAAATTTCTGGCAGAAATGCAGATTCTAATGAATAAATCTCTTAGAAACAGATAAGGTGTAGTAGATAAAGGAAACTAGAGCCCATCTGAAGGAATATTCTTCGAAGCCCCTTGAAAACCACCTGTCATACTGAGAGTGTCTCTGGAGCTATCCTCATTTGCGGATTCAGAATTATCTCTTACCATGCAGTATCTGCACCACGTTGTATTTCTTCTTTTGTAATCATATGAAAGCTATGAAGAGCTATAGATCTAGGCTTTGAACAAGGAACAGTTAGCTGGGATGCCATTTTTCACTCAGAGTTCTCTGAAAACTTTTTCACAGTAGCCAGTGAGGATAATTTTATCTAGTGTTTGTCTTGAAGGATAATGAGAAAGGATGCACCTCTATTTATTTATGAGGGAAAAACATAACCATTGTGTTAGCATTTAGACAGCGTATCTCGTTTAAAATTATCCTTAGAAACAAAACTAGGGCTTCTCCAGATGCTTAAAGTTTTATTTATGAATAAAGATCAACTTTGTCCCTTCATAAAATGACGGTAACTTCATGTTAGTTGCTGAAGTTAACATTTTCTTCACATACTGAGACATTTCCATTTGCTTATCACTTAATTCTTACACAGGTGCGCCTGGGAAAATCTGTTATACTTATTGTTCCATTACAGAGAGGGAAAAGGACGCACACTGAAATGGTACTATTGCTTTTTGCAGAAGTGAGTTCTCCAAGGCACTCCAAGAGCCTATGGCTTGTAAGGGGGGAGAGGGAAACCAGAGCGCTGTAAGTTGCCATCTTCTACTTGTTTCGGCCATCTTAATATCATAATCTGTTGGTTTTACTTATTGCTAATGTATTTGAAATAACAGCTTTGCAGAAATTTGTAATAATGATCTTAAGAAATTAATTAGTTAGCAGTTATCTAGTTCCTATAAACAAACACCCAGATCGTCTTATTTTAGTATTCGATGTAACAGTTGAGACATCTCTTGTTTTTAATTCCTGCAATGCATTCAATACTAATGAAATTTCCTGTGCACTGTTAAGAAACAAGCTTAAAAGCAGTGAAAAATAAAATTAATACAAAATAAATTTTTAAATGTTAAAAAAAAACCCTGTCATATACCATTATTTCCACTGAACACTGAATTATTTTAGAAACATCAGGATGGCAAATTATCAGTACTGATGTCCTGCATCTGCTAAGTCCAAAAATATGTCTTAAATATTTAGTCAGTGCTTCTGAGACTGTAACTATCACAAGCTGCAGCAAGGGAAATTCCAAACAGTTCTGAAGAAAAAAAATCCCAGTGAGAGCACCTAAGGAACAGGTTGACTCAAAGAGGCTGTGCAATATCCAGCTTTGGAGATTTTCAAAACTTGTCTGGACAAGGCCCTTGGCAACCTGATCGAACTCATCACAAAGTCCTCTTATTTCTGTGGGCTTTGTGATGAGGTGAGACGATGCTACATTATTTGGCTGATTTCCCAACTGCTAATAGGCCTACACTCTGTGTAGTGAGGTAGAGTGGATAAAATTTGCCATCTGTTCACCCGCCAATAGTCAGATGGTAGGAGCTGGAGATTTTGTAATATTAATGCAGTTAAATAGGAGAGGAAAGATTGGTTATTGAGCTATCAGTCCATGTACCCAACTCAGATTAGCATTAGAATTGCTGTGATTATTATTTATGCATGAAAGATTGTGTAACAGGCGACACCAAACAAAAATTTGTTGTTACAATGCATATTTCTATTCATAAAATGGAAACTTTAAACTGATACTTACAATGCAGATTTCCATTTTTTTTATGCTTCATTGTTGTAAAAGTTTACCTAGAGATTTGAACAAATCTTGCCATATAAATAGCACCACCACAAAGTTAAGTGTTACAGTGTTGTATTTATATTTACTGTTTAGGAAATTATCATGCAGGAATGGAATCATCAAATCTTTATATTTGATAAAGTGCTACAATAATATAGAATGAGCCTCTAGACATCAACCAGAACATGCTGTTTTGATGACTTTCAGCTGAGTGAAACTACTGTTTCCATTCATATGTATGAAACCAGTCATGTCTATTCAACGACAGTGTTTAGAAAAAATGGACAGCACGCATGGGTTTTCCTCTGAGGTGAATGAACATTGTCTGTGTATTCAATGAATGGTAAGCAAACATCCACATTTCTGTTTGTCCTGTATGTATTCTTCTGGATACAGAACTCATATGTCATGTAACAGTATATGGTTTTTTTTTCTTTTTGGATTGTTTACCCTTTTCATTGAGAACACACAAGGAGTGGTACCTACCAGCAGACAGGAGGTGCATTAATGCTATTTTTGAGAGGGACCCTATCTGCTCAGGAAGACTACCAAAGGATTGTTTGGTAGTAAATGTGCAAAAATATGTAACTTTACTTACAAGCAATATCTCAGTACTTACAAGTAACTGCACCTATGGTGGACAAAATATCTATTAAAACTCCTTTCTTCATAATTTCTCCGTCCTTAATTCCATTCAATTTTCCTTCGTTTTTAAAAATCTGTTCAGGTTTTACTAAAACAACGTATTTTGACACAGACTTGGCTTGCTGGTGTTCTTTTCCAGATGAAATCACTTTACTTTGGGAGCAATTTTATGATCCACTATGTGATATATTTCTATTTGTTGGGAAAGCATGTCTGTAAAGAGTAGCAGAAATTGAATTTACTCAAATTTATTCTATAACCAGGTGATTTTCAAAAATCATGGAGTTCTTTAAATATTTTATGTAGGTAAACATTTTGGTTAGTAGGAAATTATTTAACCATACATAACCACATACGTTTTCTGATACATTCTGTTGTTGTGATAAACTGGTCTTTGTTATTTGCTGTGCAGAAGTCCTTATGACTTCTGAAAAGTGAAGGAGAAATGGATATGTCGTGGTGGCTAGGTTGTGTAATTGTTACAGAGGACATTCCACACCATCGATGTGCATTATTGCTCTTATATTTACATACGCTGAGAACATGAGCTGCCACTGATTAGCTAATACTTTTGCTCAAACCTCAGTTATTCAGCTACAGTCTGTATATTCAAAAGCATAGTAAGTTAAGTTCTTTTAAAGCTTTACTCAAAAAACCACAAGTGAAAGTTTGTTACCTAACAGAACGGCATCAGAAAGCTCTATTTACAGTTCCCCGTCTTGCTTTCTTGCACTGCTGCTTCCATATGATATGACAGGATTTGAACAGCCAACACTGCACAAAAGAAGTAAAAAAATAAAAGAAATATAAATTAGAAAGCCATCATTATCTCAGACTGCAGTGCTAATATGACAAGGCAGTTGGAAATCAGATGAGCAATGAACTTGCAGTTGTCATGCTAAGAACACAGGAGTCATCCACATGGACTCTAAAGGCCTTCAACAATTAGCTTAGCGATTATTGTGTTTGCAAGAGTTTATATTTGTTAGTTTTGCTCCAGTCTGTTAAGATTATCATTCCTACTCAAAGTATTTGGCACTTCCTATAGTCTCCCTTCTTCCTAGCAGTTTGTCTCCCTGTCTGAAGCCAAATATATTATAAAATAAGATTTCAGTACTTTTAGCTAAAACTCCCCCCTCTATTTCAAACACTACCTTATGCAGAAAATTAATTACGTAACAAGGAACTTTTAAGGCCCTATGGAAGATAAATTGTATCAACATATTATTTATGGTTAAAAAAAGCTGAGATGTGAATTTGGCACAGGAAAGGCAGGAAATAATAGCACAAAAGCACATGTTCAATAAAATTAATGCCCTGTTGTTCAGCCTTAGTGGTATCACAGGAAACACTTCTGTAGGAGTCAGTGCAAGCTCTTCTGCTAATTGAAAGAAATGAATCTTCCAACCTAAGTGTCTACGTGTGACAGTGACATTGCTGGTAAGTCACTACCTAGACTATACGTTGAAGACAATCTGTAGAGCTTTAGCTGCAGAGACACAAAAACATACGGCTCCTCAGGGGCAGGCAGTTCCTTGTGCAAGAAGAAAAATAAAGAGCTTTGTGCTGATGACGTTGTTTTTGTTGTTTTTCAGCTCTTCGTTCTGACTTGAAAGCTTAGTAACTCTTCATAATGGCCAGTCTCTTCCTGTTGCATCATTCCCATTTACTGGGACAAAAGACTGCTCAATTGGCAATAATCACCAACAATTAAGACTTTTTTTAGTAACCAACTGGTATTACCCAGTGGTGCGCTGAATTCTGCAGTCACACAGAAGCTGTATGGGTTGGTAGCTGGTATTCGCAGTTCCAGTGTACCCCATCCGTTCCCAACTTAACGAGCTGTTAGAGAGGTTTTTGTTGATGCTGGGTTTTTTGTATAGCTTTATTTAAAATCCTTTAAAGCACGCCTCATTCTCTGATAGTCTTCAATTATTTCAATACCATCCACTAGGGAAAAATCTATCATTGCAACTGTGTTAGATATCACAACGTATTGAGGCTATAGGTTCAGGGACAGATTTTTGGTCCTTTAAATCAGAAGGAACAAAAATGGCACTAACTCCACATAAAGCCAATTTATCCACATTTGTGCACAGAACAGGTTGGCAAAAGGGCTAGCATGCAACATGTGCAGTAGTGAGTACGAGTAAAGCATTTGACAGCACTTGTGCAAGAACTGCCATAGACTGAGAGAGGGAAAAGGCTTCCAGCTCTGCACTGACCCTTTAAATTTTAGAGATCCGGCAGCAGGTGCCCACAGAAGGCTGTGGGAAGCGGACGCTTTCCACTAATGACCCTTGCCAGTATTTGCATGCTTCTCCAGCATTCAGCGAAAGGACTTTCCTGGCCAAAGCTGTATCTAGACCATCCTGTTTATCAGCCATGGTAGGCCTGAACTTTGGTCTTAGTGATGTAAGGGTCTGTCTTATGCATTGAATCTTTGATGCTGAAAAACACTTGCAGAAAAGGCAGGCATAGATATGTAGACTAATGTGGTACTGCTGTGGCATTTTTCTATTAGAACATGAAACAAGCTGCTAAAAAACGGAGTCTTGTGTTGCTTGGGTGTTCTGGACACTTTATGCTTTGTCATATATTTAACAAACTGAAAAATGTGTTTGATCAATCAGCATGTGGATGAGGGTGGTCTTGGGTATGTGTCTAACGCACAAGTAAATTTATGGGACACCCAAGCAGAGCTCTTTGGATTTGCCTCAACTACAGCAAGAGGGAGCTTGCCAGTATGAAACGGAGGATGTAACGCAACCAGAGGGGTGACAGCCACTAACGGACCTTTCCTTTAGGCATTTACTGAAATCTTTTCCATGACTAGCTGTCGTTTCATAACATCTCCTAGCACTAAGCTCCACGATTTAACTGTATGTTGTTTAAAGCATATTTCTCTGACACTGTTAAGAGTCTTCTGATCGTGTTCATGTGGTCTTGATGTATTTTTATATATTCTGGAGGCCGGCATCCTATTGCTAATACTAATTTGCCTTTTTTTTGGAACACATTTTTAGAGTGAATGTGTTATTTTGAGCTTTAAAGCACTGTTCTTCCATGAGTTCAAAATGACTTTATGTGAACAGCCCCCCTGAAACTTGAAACCCATTGCAGCATCAGCATTAATACCCGCAGATTCATCAAACAGAGCAGCACGCCATCATCCATTTTCTCTGCAGTGCTATTAACTCCCTAGAGTTGTCTTCTTGTGCCCGTCCGTTTCCTCTCTGAGTTTCCATGTTACTTGAATGACTGCGTTAACAGAAGTTATAGTTGTCATACTAGCTGTAAGAACTAGCCAGGTTCAAATTAATTCCAACCAAAAAGGGAAGCTAATAGATGTTCATCCTAGAGGCGGTAATAAGAACATATATATTTTCTAAATAAACTGGTGAATATGAAAGAGGACACTACCTGCTTAAAGCTTCAAAGTTGTCTCTACAAGCCCTTAGGCTTTATCTCTAATGCCAACGCGGCTTTGGACAGGCATCACCTGACTGACCGGTATCGGGTCGTGGGGCCTTTCACTGTCAGTGTCCCGTAAGCCTCCAGTTAAAAATAAATACATTTTCCGAGGGGCTGGTGAGAAGCGGAGATGCGGGCTCCAGCAGGAGGCACGGTTTCCTCGGTTTTGCCGGGGCTGGCGATCGCCGCCCTCGCTAGGAACAAGATGGCGGGCGGCGGGCGCCACCCCCGCGCCACACGGCCAACGGTCGCCG